AACTGTTGTTGGTTAACATTCTGCAGGGATTCAACTACTATAACAGCCATGATTGATAAGAAATAACAGCCCTCTAATTGTGCTTTATACTTCAAAAGTGCTTGATGCCTTAACTATTATAATAGTTAAGCTCACTGCTCCTACTGAAATACTTATGTCACTGATCTTCTCTTCTGGGTGTTCAACAACTAAAGTTTGTAGACTAAAACTAGAACAGTAACTGGGCTATGAGGACAGCCAATATTTTGTCTCTGGGCCCTCAAGGTCAACAAATATCCAGGACACAAAGGAACCTCCTCTACAGGATCCTACCTCTTTGGTAAGTCACTCAACCTCCTGAGCAGGGAGATTGCTGGACCCCAGAGGACAAATGTACCATGTGCCAAAGGAGGGTCACAAAGAGGGAACAAATCTCCCATGCTTTCACGAAAGCAACATGGTCAAGCAAGGCCATGACCCATCTGGATAGCTGACACTGACAAAGGAGCTGAGAGGTTCTATGCATGGTTCCAAAGTAATGCCTGAGAAGACTTAACTGACTTTGATAGATAGCAAGAGGTTCATGTTGATTGACACAGGTCTCACTTTAACTTGGTCTTAAATACCCAGTAGAAAAGAATAACCAAAAGAGGTATAAAATAATGGCATAGTAATAAAGCTAGATATAAAAAGGGGCTCCAGTCACTGACCCCTTCTGGTAGTTTCTAGCTACACCAGTAGCTGACCATGGTTATGGGTCATTAGGAAAAAACTGGTAAAATCTATAAGAGCTCAGCTAGAGTTTTAAATTCCTTAAGTGAGATTTGTTCTTCAAATTGTGTCTTATCTTAAAGTTGAAACTAGAGAGATTTATGACAAAGTATCAGACTTATACATAATCTTTATCAATGAAAAAAATCTAAGAGCCAGTAGGTTATTGATAGGTCTCCCACTACCTCAGCAGCTATTATGTATAGTAGCTGCCCTCTTTCTATTGTGCTTTGCCCCCTTCCCTGTGTGATGTCATGCCAAATGGTTTCTCCCACCAAAGAACAAACCTTTCTGCCCAGCATGCCCCTGTTCCCACCTAGAGAGTAACCTAATGCTTGCTCACCTCCTATCAATTAGTGATGTCACCAGTTCCTCCATTCCCTAGTCACTACCTCACTCAACCCTTTCTCAGCTCCTACTAACCACACCCCAGTCTCTATAAAAGACACTCCCTGCCCCAGCCATATTGCCTTTGTCTCTCTTTTGTTCAGAGACAGGCAGATCTGTTCCCATAATAAAGGCTTGTTGTGGCTTGGTCTGGTCTTGGTTTTTGGCCTTTTTACCTGACAGTTATAATCACTATTTCAATTTCTAAGTGTGACTTTCTCCCCAACCTGCCCTTCCATTCTAGTGTGCTCATGCTTAGATTATACATACTCTAATTTCTTTCTTTCTTTCTTTCTTTCTTTCTTTCTTTCTTTCTTTCTTTCTTTCTTTCTTTCTTTCTTTCTCTCTTTCTTTCTCTCTTTCTTTCTTTTTTTGGTACCAGGGATCAAACTTGGGACCTTGTGCTTGTGAGGCAGGTGGCAGAACCACTGAGCTAAATCCATGGCTCTGTTCTCCCAGTTCTTTAAAGTTTTGTTTATTCTTGCCTAGAGGTTGCCAAACTCCAAACAGTCATACAAATGGAACCAATGACAAATGTGCTAGACTTCTTTTACTGGGATCCACCAGATCAACTTTGTAAATAGCTTATAACTGCTAAACTATACAATATGGCTTCTATATTGGATTCTGAAGTCTCCTGGACCTTCTTATCCTGTTTGTGGGAGGCTATTACTAGTTCCTCCCAGTGGAAACACTTGTTAGCTATATTCATAGCAATCCTGCTGACCTTATAATTTGGCCCATGTATTCTTAACTGTTTCTTTGGCTTTGTCTCCTCCAGACTCAAAACTATACAGCTACCAAGATGACAATGCCTGGTGCCTATCAAAGGTCTTTAGATAGATCCTTTGTAGAGTAACTCTGACTGCTGATCACAACTAGGACCCTCTTCAGCTGGAAGTAGTAGACCAGTCTTCACCTTTTGCCCCCTCACAGCAGTTAGGGGTACTTCTTCAGAGGGGGGAATATTGCAAATTGGCAAGTTAATTACATATCTTGTAGGCAATTAGACAGGGCCTCCCTTAAGGCACCAGCCCTCCAGGAGCCAACATAGCAAGGAGCCAACAAGGAGAACAATTGAGGCACATTAACTGGTTAGCATTATAAAAAGGAAAAGAAGTACTACTTCCCCTAGAGATAGATAGCAGTGATTGATATTCTAAATGGGAAATTCCTTGTATATGATTTGTCTTCCCATTTTATCCCCATTTAATTAATATTACTTGGGTGACTGTACTTATAATCTTATTGATTGGTCAAAGTTTTGTCCCACCTCATAAATTTCCATGGGGTCTTATAGTTTTGTCCCACTTTGTACCCACCTTACCCCATGGCTTTGCTGTATAAAACATCTTTGAAAAGTGGGGGGTGGGTGGGCAACACACTTTCCAGTTCCCCTTCTGCCTCTCTTAGGCTGAAACTTTCTTTCTCCCAATAAATTTTTCCTACTCTTAAAAACAAAGAAACAAATGATATCTAAAATTTATTGAGAGTTATCTTTGTATTGTCAACAACTGTGCTAAACTTGGAGCTTCTCAGTGAATCCTCATAATAACCAGAAGACTGATTATTATTAGTATGCCTATTTACAGGGGACGAGAGCCCAAGTAATTTTACTGACTAAAAATTCCAGACTAAAAATTCTACTTGTCTTAATTCATTAATCCTTTTAATCTACCCATTTTGTTGAGCTTCAGGTATTTATGAATTTTAAATTTTTCATTTCATAACATTAAAAATTATATTAACAAGTTTCTTTTGAAATCATATTCAGCCTCTTTGTTTCATATATGAAAAATATGAGTTCCAGAAAGAATAAAATAACTTGCCTAAGGTCCCATGATTAGTTGGTGGGAGAGTTAACCCTGGAGCTCAGATGTTTCTTGATTTTCTCTTTTATCTTAATTTGGAATAATAACAATAATAGCTGCCCAAACCCCTATTATCTCTTTTATCCTCATGCAGAACAGCTTTGTTTAATTAGTTTTATAGAAAGTTTGATGTAAATATATTTTATGATTTTCTTTGAGTCAAAGAGGTTCTCATGATAGCCTTTAGATGGCACAAGTTAGCTAATCTAAGATGTTTTGTAGTTAACAGTAATTAGAGGAGGTTAAAAAAGTTTATGAAAAGCAGGAGGATTGAGTAATAATTTAAACAAAGTAGACATGTTACCAGCAAAGCCAGCCTGCATTTAGAATCAGTTTTCTGAATGAGTCTTTATAAACAAGAGACAAATGTTTAGAAGATTTTCCAGAGGTTCTCAACTTGGGCCAACCAATATCAGGAATAACTAGAAATAACTCTTGGGGATAGATTTTGGGATAGGAATTGGAATTAGAGATGTTTCTGAAGTGGATGTCAGGAGGCCTCCTTTTTCTATGTCTAAATACACAGGGCAAGTTTTTTCTCCTTTGGCTTGTGCTACTTAGTGCACATCCTCATGACATTTGTTAATTAATTGCCTGATCTGAAGACTTGCATGACTTTGACTAAAAAGTCTTTAATGTGTCTCTGTAGGATGGTGTTAGAGGGCAATACTTTGTACTTGTTATGGCTACAGGTATCTTTTACAGAATTGAATTTTACCACTTGATTTTTTCCTCATTATTTTCCCTGGAGGGATTTTAAACTCCTTTTTTAAAAGATGGCAATGAAAAATGGTATTTACTGTGATTTTTATATTGACCAGCACTTTTGAAGCCAGTGTAAAGAACCATAGGTAAATGTTTCCTGAGCTCTAATTTTGTTCTGAAGAAAATATTCAGCTAATAAAAAATTGTATCTACCAAAAAAGTGAAAATGTGTTGAATTGAGGAAAGAGATGGCTTTCTAAAAGGGTTCCTCTGTTATCCAGTTAGAGTGTGTTCTTTGGCACACTGTGTCTAATTTTCAAAATTCTGTGATTTATGAGCATCAGAATCTGAAGAGTTTGAATGGGAAAATTTCATTTTTCCTGACAATGTCAATTTCCAAGTTCCAGTAATAACACGAAATAGGCAAAGCCAATCATTAGTGTTTCTGGGTTCAACATGGTAGGCACTTTTCCATTTTAAGTGGCATTTCCCTTTTCACCTCACTCCTAGCAGCTTGTTCTTTTCCAGTCATTCCTCACAAAAATCTACCCTCTCAATCTCTACAATAAGGCACCTATTACTGATGCCAGCTTCAAATATTCCTAACAGATTTTTAAAATTTTATGTAGTCTAAACCAAAGGCATAAAGGTAAGTAGGTGAATTATTTTTATAAAAATGTACATATAGTTATTATAAACATTCAAATACTTCCTAAATAAATATGTCCTAAATGCTATCTCTTAAATATAGATGTTCCACTTTGGTGAAAATTCTTTTCTATGCATATATAAAAAATAGGATACAAGCTATTGCTGGTATGGGTGAAATGAAAGCCCTCCAGCCGATTGCCTATCCCAACAACTAGGTACTCACTTTTTCTACTGGTAAGACAATTTGCACAAAGAGTGAGTAATTTAAAATACATTGTATCCAATTGTCCTCTGTAATTTAATGATGTGCCTATCTTTTAAATATTCTTAAACATGAAAGGCTATTTCTTATTATTCTTATATTGGAAAATAAATCATGACTACAAATCCCATTCCTATTTTTGGATATCTTGTTGCACAGTTTCTGATGAGCAAGATCAGAGCACCTGCATTTTTGTCTTTAGCTAGAAGAGTTGCCAAGTTTAGTTCCTATGACCTTCATGAAGGAAAAGAGTTAAGAGATTTTGAGTATAAGTCTGTGATGAAGTGACAAGAAACATCTCAGTTCTAGTCTATTGGTCCAGTCATTATTATGCTGCTTAGATATCAAAGAATTATATTATGAGTTCACTATGCCACTATTAATTTTTAAAATTTTATTTAAATTTTTATAGGGAAATATATTTTGCAGAAGGTGGGATTCTGTGTGCTTGGTCCTTGAATACTTTTCTCCCACTGCAACTATGAGTCAATCATTGTTTTGTCCTTAAGGTTTAGAATTTTCTCTCTCTCCTGTTCTTTTTCTAACATAAGTCCACCTATTTCTTTTTCTTTCAATTTTGTAGAGTGGAGATTTTCATCCAAGGTAAACAATTACCTGATTTACAATGTACTGAGCACACTGCCAAACACTGAAGGCTAGGAGATGTAGCAGTGCTGCTTAGTTGCCTAGAATTTGGGTATTGGACTCAGGCTGTCTGTGTTTGTATATTGCTTTATTACTTACTAGCTGTGTGATCATGGGCAGTTTCACCTCTGTTAAGTGAAGATGATAATAAAAGTCAAACATTGTTGATATAATTCTTGAGTCTAGTACCTGATACATAATAGACAACAAATATTATTATTACTTATTCTTTTTACTCATTATTTCTAAAGATTGTTAAACATGAAATCTGTCCTAAGAAAATTTACAATCTAGCTGAATTAACATTAGTATCTAACATCACAAGGAAAAGAATAAAATAATTAATGTGGATTGTGACATGGAAAGAAAAGCTATAATTAAAGAGGAATTCATAGAGGATGCAGAGATGACAGGTGGGTAAGGTTTGGGTCTGCCAAGTAGCAAGAGAGACACAATTTACTAACGTAGACTAGGAGTGTTATGGGTAATTTTCCTTGAGCATCAGGAGTCTTGGGGTCCTTCCATATTTTATGGATAAGCTGCTTGTAGGGCTAGGTTCTGGCAAGACCATGAAGACTGTTGCTTTGGGCTCTCCGGGTTTGATGAATTTGTTCTGTGGGGATTAATAGAGTAGATGGATGAGTAACAGAAATGGTAATTAAGCAATATGATAGGACAGATGGTGGCATCACAATGATTAATGGGATGCCTCAGGTGAGCACCAAGGCACGAGGCAGAAATGAGAGCTCTTGATGTACTGGAGAAGTATCATTAATCAGCATTACATTGAAATTATAACTGGGTACTTAAAATAACATAAAAGCACAATTTAAAACATGCACTATTGATTCTAGTGAAATATTATGCCAGAAATAAATTTCAACCCTACAGAGGACTGTACCCTTAGAAAAAGAAAGTTGTGCTCCTTAAAGCTGAAAGTAGCCCATTGACACAGTGTGGCCCTGCCAATTTTACCTTCTAAAGCTGTTCTTTTCATTGGAAACCACAGTAGAGACCAGGAAAAATAGAACTGATATTTTGGCAATGCTTTTCCTGCCTCATATGCCTTGTAATGTAGCTCAGTCTCTCAGCCAAGGTTGGCTGTTTCTTCCACACTGGATCTCCAGAGAGTGTGTAAAAGAAGGGGTTCTGGACAATGCACAAACATCTGTTGAATTTGGGACAATTTATTGCATCTGCACACCAAAGAGAGAAGATGGGATTTGGGGCTGTATAATTAGGAGAGGAGCAGGTCTCTCACTTTGAGCTGCTCCAATGAGGTCCTTTGAGTTGCTAGTCAGGTATTTCAGGATGTGGTAAAATGTGGAGTTCAAGTTTTGGAGAAGGCTTTTCTAAACTGAGCTTAGAGAGACAAGAGTAGGAAAGTGCCATAGTACAAAATTGATGCCCCTGGAAGACTCTGAAGAGCTGAGTGCCTAGAATTCCTGGGGATGTTTCCTTATCCACTTATACTTCCAAGGTTAGGCCACCTCCCCTTAATTTGGTTGCCCTTGAAGGGACTCTGATAGTGATTCATCAGAATTAAATAATTAGGCACCTACATTTCTTCTATATTAAGAAAAAAAGAGAGTTGTGACTTCATGGTAACATAAACTAAAACTAAACAAACACCTCTCTTTTTTGTTGCAAAAGCCTGCTCTGGTCAAATTAATTCAGATTACTATCTTCTTGGAATTATATAATCTTATTTTTAAACTTTAACCTTGTTTTAGCCGTCAGTGGGGTGAATGGTGTTCCCCACAAAATATATGTTTAGTTACAGCCTGTAAATGTGACATTATTTGGGAAAAAAAGGTTTTTGCTGATGTAATTAAATTATTTTGAGACTATATTGTCCTTTAGGATGGGCCCTGAATCTGATGAAAAGTGTCCTTTCCATTAACAATAAGGGAAGAAGACATAAGTAGGAAACAGATGTAAAGGACAAGGCAGAAGCAGACATAGTGGTGCACACCTGTAATCTCAGCATTCTAGGAGGCTGAGGCAGGAGGATCACAAATTCAAGTCCAGCCTGGGCAATTTGGTGAGATAATGAAACCCTGTTAAAACAAACACAAAACAAACAAAGAAACAAACAACAACAAAAACAAAGCAGAGACTGAGAGTGATGAATGTAAAAACCAAGGAATGCTAATTACCAGCTGCCATTAGAAGGTAGAAGAGAAGTATAAAAGCATGGAATGAATCTTCCCTCACAGCCTCCAGAAAAACTAAACCTTGCTGACACCTTGACCTTGGATTTCAGCCTCAAAACTGTTTAGAAAATAGATTTCTGTTGTTTAAAGCCATCAGCATAGCAGTTTGTTATAGCAGCTATAGAGATTATAACATTGTAGAGCTGCTTCAGAGGGGATTTTAGTTGTAGAGATTCAGAAACTTGCTACTTGATGAATTTATACAGTGATAATTCTCTGTGGTTCATTCCTGAAGTCAAGGTTTCTGAGCCCAAGGGAGCAGAAAGCTTAGACATGTGTGAATGGATAGAATGTTCCACCAGTTTTTTGTGTGTGTGTGTGCTGAGCATGCCACGATACCATTCTTTTTCTAAAATAGGTAGTAGCATTTTATTCTCCAATTCATGTCATCAAGGCTAGTATGATAGTTATCAACTTAGAAGAGTTTAAATGCTTTGATGATTACTAAAAATACCATCTTAAAATATTAAAATGCAAATTTGTTAGTCACAATCTAAAAGAATACAGCTCCTGAGACTATGAACAAGTGATATAAGGTCTGCTTTTATTTATTAATTAAAATATATAACAAGCACATTCAAGGACTCTGTCATTTCTGGATTATGTTCTGGGAGGTCATTGTAATCAGTGCAAAATTGGACTTGGTTTACTTTTTCTCTCAGTATATGTATGAGGATCCAGACTTGCAAAATGGACAGATAGAAGATAATAATTTGCTTTACAGAAGGGTCATTCGCTTATAAAAGAATTAAATGCATGATTCATTCATTCATTCAGTGAACATTTATTGATATTCTATGTGACAAACCTGGTTCTGTGAACCAGGGATACAAGAGGAAACAAGGCACTTTTCCTGTCCTCTTCAAGTTTACTTTCTAATAGGGAAGTTGGATATTGAACAGATAAAGAATCATATCAGTTAATAAACACAATGTCATCCAGTAATATATATTATGAAGAAGCTCTTCCCCCTCCAATGCCTGGCATACTTTGACAGAAAATTTCTATCCTTTATAACATTACTTTTCAACAAACCTTGGGGCCTCAAAAGGCAATAGGTTCCTAATAGGTCTCCTGGCTTCTATGCTTGAACCCCCTCAAAGCTGTTCTTCATCCACCAGTCAGAGTATTTCTAAACCATAAATGAGGTCCTCCAATGAGTTATTTTGCTTATAGAATAGAATCCAAGCTCTTGCAAGGTATTACGTTATTTTTCCCATCTACCTGTAAACTTGTTTCTTGCCACTGGCTCCTTTCTTTACTTTCTTGATCACACTTTCTCTCAGTTCCTTGTGTAGACACATATAGTTTCTCTGCTTATAATGCTTTTCTACAGATTATAGAATACATGTATTTTACAGATTGGATGTGTGTGTGTGTGTGTGTGTGTGTGGGTATTTGCTTGATGCTTGCTCTCTGCCAGTCTCTTGGCTTAACCAATCTGAAACTCCATGAAGGGCTGGAATCACACCTGTCTTCCTAGATCCTAGCTTAGGACTTGGGACATAGAAACTATAAGCAGATATTTGTTAAGGGAATAAAAAAAGAAATGTACCATCAAGTAAACTCCAAACAATTTTAAGAAATTGACCCATTTAAGGAATGAGGTACATCAATTATCCTCACATTAAATTGCATTGCTTTGTGAATTTATTATTCTCTAGTCCTTTTGTGCCTAATAGAGTGGACCCTTGACTTATGAACTCAATTTGTTCCCAAGGGCTGGTTGTAACTCAGGTTGGTCAATTGCCTTCAAAATATCTCTCCTGTATAATTTTAGGCCACACTTTCTTCCAGGCAGATGTCAGTGTCCTTAGAGAGACATTGGCCCAGGATTTCTCAATTAACCCCACACAGGAAAGGATGTTGTAATGTTCCTCCCAGAACTCTTTAAGGGTTAAATCTGAATCTGACACTGTCTGGAAGCACCAGTGGCCAGCCTTCAGGTAACAACTCAAGACTTCGTTCATAAGTTAAAACAAAAATTCCAGTCATAACCCAAGTTGTTTGTATGTCAGACCCATCATAACTTGAGGGTCCACTGTATTACAGGACCAGAAAGGAGAAAATTTACTGGACTCAGGTAATTTGTTGCCTACAGAAATGCTTTTGTGTTCTTTCACAGTTCTAATTTATTGGTTAACAAACAGAAGGCAGCTACCTAATAAATACAACTGCCAGTTGACTGTATGTTCATAATAAAATTGTCCTTCAACAGTCTAGTAAACAGGTCTCTAAGTTGTGAGTTCTCACTTTTTCCATGACACATTAAACATTGGTATTCCCATTTTAACCAGATACATTTAGCTTTTTTTCAACTATGTAAACTTTGGGAACTCTTTTTTTTCCATCAAAATTTAGAACTTTAAATGACATCATCATTTAAATGAAAAGTAGTCCTTAAACAGACCATATTTATATTACATATAACCTAAGACCAGAATATATAAAGAACTCTTACAGCTCATTAATAGACAACCCAATTAAAAAGTAGACACAAGAAGATGATAGCCAGTACAGCA